ACAATCTAAGGGGGATATACACCAACAAAGTCAATAGAACACGGTGGCAGCAGGGTAGAACACAAGGGCTATGCTGGGAGGTGGAGGCAGCGGCAGGGCAATAACACCAGGGCTGTGATGGGAGGCAAGAGGATCCCCAGATCTTCAAAAGCCGGGAAGACTTCTTGGAGGAGACAGTGGAGCTTTACTTTTGGAAACTGACTGTTCACGTTCTGAGGAAGGGGAGACGCACCTTGTTTGATTCATCTTGCAAATTCACATTGGATTGGAATGCAATTATAGTGCTTGTGTATTCTCAGAGTCGGCAATGCTTTCCGGTGTACAGCAAGCATTCATAAACATTGAAGGAATGAAAGACTCCTTGTTGAGATGTAAGTTTGCATCCTCTCTTGGGAATTTCAGCGCCAGGGAACTATCAGTTAAGACAGGCGGACAAAGAAAAGGCCCGAAGGTCACTCATTCTCAGAGTGTAATGTAAGCAGTCCTGTGGGCAGGGGTCCACCCACACAGATAGTACCTAGACTGAGGCATTTCTGATCCCTGTGAAAGTACAGACAGAACACTGAAAACTGAAGAGTTAATACAAACACATCTCAGACAAGCTCCATTTCTGGCACCGGGACCCTGATCTCCTGATCTCTACCCCAACCTGCGGTGTTCCTCTAATTCCCTATCTGAGTCTTCCTGCCTCCTGGAACCTCAGACAGGCTCCCTCCAGGATTAGGCTTTAAAGAAAAATGCAAATCATCTGGAGATGGCTTCATGCTTGGAAGAAGTAAAAAACAAAATCGATTCTGCTTTTGTTAAAGTGATTTTTGGACACTGTCAAAAATGCTCTCATCTCAGAGTACAGGGTGACAGATAGTCTGCTGATGACAATTATGTAACTGAGTCAACAGTGGCAGTGAGCCACCATGGAAGGAGCAGAGGCTGCTCCATAACTTCCCCCACCTTTCTCAAGCCCAACTCCCCTCTTTAAGATGTCCAAGAGCAGTCCACTCTAGATGTCCGGAAGTCAGCCCCTCGTGGCCATTGCGGACACAACCAAAGGCTCCCATCTTCTCTTATCCCCATATCTTCACCTGAGCTGCCCCAAGGACTTGCTCAGGCACTCCAGGTCAGTCATAATGCTAAGCAAAGCCAAGCAAAATTAAGAAGGGAAATTTGCTTTGACAAAACTCACCTCATATAATACATTCCCAAACTAGTTATGTTGGTCTTATTTAATATTGGGAGTTCCACGTTATCCCTTTCCTCTGTTAACTGAGATAATTGGGGATTTGTTTTATTTATAGCATCAATTATGAACACGGAAATTAATCTTTGAATGGTACATTTGGGAGCTCAACTGTCAAGGGAGCACAAGGGAAGCCTGGGTACATCTCAGGGGTCTTTCCTACCGGCACAGGAGCCTGCCAAGGAAAGACATCTTCAAGCCTGGGTGATAATTTGGGCTGTCATTTGTTCTTGTGTGCATAAAGTATTTTGAAATATTAAATAAATGGTGATAATTGGCTTCAGGAGATCCTTCCCTGGAGGACATCTACTAATACATGTGTGGGAAAGCAGTCAGAGATGGCAACCAGAGCCTGGCAAAGCAAACACCTTTGCTTGTATTGGCTCTCAGCATGTTGGCTGGCACTACCATGAGAAGGAGCTGAACAGAGTGTCACTGATTAGAGATGGGAGACCAGGGAGGAGTAGGGCAGTGAAAAGCCACAGACATGGTTTGTATGTGCTGGGAGCTATTGGAAGCAACTGGACCACTGCAGAGTTGATCCTTCATGCTTCCTGGTTACATGGGACTCTAATTCAACATAGACTTAAAAAAAACAAAAACAAAAACAAAAAACAAACTTTCTTCAATGGTTGAACAGGACTAAAACTAGCCAGCAAATGTGGTTTGGAAAGAAAGCAGCCAGGAGAGAGGAAAAGCTTTCCATGGTTGAGCCAGAAAGTCCCCTAGTAAAGGCAAGAAGATCCATGTGGTTCTGTAGAGCATCTCAGTGGACAAATCAGTCATCCAGTCAAGTCTGCTCCCCTCTCTCCTGGAGCAGTAGAGCTGAGACAGAGCATACAGGGCTAGAGTTGCTGCAGGGCTGCAGGCTCAAACCTCCAATTTACCCTCAAGAAAAGGACAGATACATCTAGAAGAGACTGAGAACAATATCAGTCTAAGCAAATGAGGAAGGTGCCCCATTTACACTGACCCCTCCATTAAAAAGCATTGCCAAGCACCTGCTATGTATAGCCAAACAAACGAGCCTGGTAATGGTGCCAACTGCCAGCTCAGGTCAAAGTCAAAGTAGCTTGATCTAGCACTGAGCTATAGTCAGACACAGTGGAAGAAGAAAAAGAGACTGCTGTCTCGTAACTTGTCTGAATAGAAGGAAGAGAGGACTAAAGGTTTCTTTTTGAGCCCATTTGATTCTCATCTAAGAAGCCTAGACATTTCAATATATTGAGGATGGAAAGACAAGCCTGTTCATCATTGGGGGTGGAGTGAGAGGTCCAGGGCCTACAGGGGAGCCTTGCCTGTCCTCCATGAAGGCAGATTCTTTTCCATCTCATATGCCTTCTCCTATAGCCTGCCTGAACCCCGCACTACCTCCAAGAAAATAAATGTGAGACCAACACTGTCCGCCCCACCCCCTGATGCTGAACACTAAAAGAAATCAACCGTTACCCCACAGTAAAACAGGCAGTAAAATCCCATGTTTAGCTCTGATAACAGCCATTGATCTCTAATGCAGTCTTCTGGTTTATCTAGAAGGACATGTGTGGTGTGTAAAGTCTCTGTGTGCCCAGGACAGTACCTGACATACAGTATCCACCAAGCTGATGCTTTCTTGACTAGTAATGTGACTTGAAGAGGCTATCTAAAAAAGGAATAAGCCTCAAGGTCTGGTTTCAGGATGGAGGGGAACAGTGGGACATGGTGAAAGGAGAAAAGACATTGAAGGTGTATACACCGGCATCTGAAAATCAGCTTTGGAAAATTTACTGAACCCCTCTGAGCCTCACCTTCTGTATCATTAAAGAGCACAGAACTTTTCCTACCTTGCAAGGCTGCTGAGAGGACTTAAGATAATATATGCAAAGTGCTCAGCACACTGCTGACACAAAGAAGACACCCAGATGCTATTATACTAATAATAAAAAGTAATGGGCAGGTGGCCAGTGACATTCCTATTTATCTCCAAAATGATCCCATTTTAACTCTGACACCCATCAATCAGCCTGGTATTTATCCCAATACAAATTCCTCCCTTTCTGTCATGAATCCCATCAGAAAGCAACTAAGGACACTGGGAAGTTGGGATCTCATCAGGATCATGCTTGAGGTTGGGATGAGGTAGCTAGGTTTCTTTAGGAAAGTGAAAGATGGCCAGGGTCAGCATAGAAGGAACAAATATGAAGCCAAGTCCCTAGATCACTTTATCCCAAATATCCCCTGGTATCAAAAGCTTACATATGCCATTTGATCCAAGAAAGACACAGTCCCAGAGTTAAACATTCCCTCTGATGAGCAGCTAGCTATTTGGTGAGCACAGTTGTACATGTGTACACCTGTGTATGCATGATGCATAGTGTGTGTGTGTGTGTGTGTGTGTGTGTGTGTGTGTGTGTGTGTGTTATTGGGAAGAATGTCTGTATAGCTTTCTTTAGACAGAGGTAAAGGGAATGCCTGAATCAAACATGGTCTTCACAAATGGATGGTGACAGCCCTTGTTCCTCCCTGCTCCTCTCTTGTGGCAGAATGACAAATGTAATCACTTTAAAAGGTCCAATCACCTGCTCAGTCGTTCCCAATAAACACACGCAGCACTATGGAATAACCCATACCACCACAACGGGGTTTCATCCAAGAAAAAAAAATTGAATCACCAGGATGCCACCAACTGAATTGTCAAAGACCAAATAAAAAGCTTCATGAATTCTCCATCAGCAATATAATGCTTCCTTGTCTAAGCAAATCTAGACCCAGCATATGAATTGTGAAGAGATTTTTCATTAATCTCATGGCTTCCAAAGGCTGAGGCAGAACCCCTCTGAAATCTATGTCTCCCTAAAGCTGCCTTTATTTGCTCTAATCCTGTTAGGGTGAGATTTCAATCTTCTCCCTGGGACCCCTTCCTCTGATGGAGCGTTTCACATCCCAGCACCATACATTTATTTTTGTGACCTGGGTGGAGTGGAGAACTGGGAGATCTGGAAGAGAACATCACCTGACATCTCACTGAGCACTTGTCTCTTGATGATATTGCTGGTTGTCTGACCACATGACCCAATTGAGACTATTTCACAGGCACACAGGTAGGCTGGGTCATTCCACCCCTGACTCTAACTGATAAAACAAGCTTGTTCCTCCCTTAGTGAGAAAAAAGAAACTGGTGCCTTGCTTTACAGAAAACCCCAAATCAGGACCTTTGAGAGAAACTCTAGTCTGTGGCAGCAGAAAAGGAAAAAAAAATGAGGCAAAAGAGAAAGCAGCTTGCAAATATACTACAAAGGAGAAATGCAGGAAGGACGGGTGAAGAAATCTGCATGTACAGATTGTACACTATTTATCCAATTCTCACAACCCTTCTGCCCCACCACCCGCCAGCTCTGTCTGCCTCCCCTCCAACTTCTCACAACCCTTCTGCCCCACCACCCGCCAGCTCTGTCTGCCTCCCCTTCATAGTCCTTAGAGGCACTCCACCCTGCCACCACACTCACCACACTGCTTGTCTGGAGGAAAGACACAGTGACTTAATTTCCCATGTTTTATAAAACACATGCCTCACTCAGCCCCAATAGAATCAATTCCAGAGCAAGTCACCACCCACAAACAAATCACTCATTTCTTTGCTGACTAAGTATATCCACTTCCCTGGCTCCCATGACTTGAGTAAAGGGCTTTATCTCCAAACTTCCTCTCCTCAATCCTGATACACCACCTAAAGCTTCATGATCAATCAACCCAACTTCACCCTATCCAGGCCAGTGGCACTGACTTACCCCAGTGTAGTCATGGTGACGATGGTGTACCAGAAAGATGCGGGGATGCTTGTGAACTTGCTGGCAGAGGAGCCCTTCTCGGCATAAAACATCACAGTGGCAAAGATGATTATGGCCATGGTGAGGGAGAAGAGGAGAAAGCCCAGTTCCGAGGCACAGCTCTTCAGGGTGTACCCCAGGATTCGTAGACCCTGGGAGTGTCGAGAGAATTTGAAGATCCTGAAGACACGGAAGACCCGGAGCGTGACAAAGGCCCCGGACACATCCTCATTGTTGGTCATGACGAGGCCAATGTAATAGGGCATGATGGCCACCACGTCGATGATGCTCATCACACTGCGAATGAAGCGGTATCGGCTGGGAGCCGCGAAGAGCCGGAGGAGGTACTCCACTGTGAAGATCATGACGCAGGCAGTGTCCAGGCAGAAGAAGGCCACCGAGTAGCGCTCTCCACATGGCAGCTCCTTGCTCCCGGGCACCGTGCCGCATGGCACCGTCTCCACCACGTTGGTGATGACTGAGACAGCAATGAAGAAGCCAGTCACGTAGTAGAAGACCAGGGCCAGGGTGCTGGTGTGTGGGTTTTCGAAGGCCCGCCACATGGTCTGGCGGAAGCTGAGTGAGGGCATGGACTCCTGGTTGTTCTCAGAGTCATTGTCATCCATGAGCCGCTCGGCGTTCTCCCGCTTGCGGTCTTTGTACTCCTCGTAGCAACAGTCTCCAATGATCTCAGGGAGGATGCCATAGAAGGCCAGCTCATCGTCGTAGGCAGAGATGCACTCATACCGCGGGTAGTGTAGCTTCCCCGTGCGGTAGAAGTTGAGCACACAGCGGAAAACTTCTGGGTCACGGTCAAAGAAGTACTCCTTGGTGTCCTCATTGAAGAAGAACTCCTTCTCTGTGCTACCAAGCAGAGTATCGGGGTAGCGCTCCAAAGTGGTCCTCCAGGTCTGGAACCGTCGTCCACTCACATTGAGGACAATCAGCTCGTCTTGCCGCTTGTTCTTGTCAGCTGGAGCTAGGGGCATGGGGCAGTTGGCCACTGGCATCCATCCAATGGCCGCAGCCCGGGCAAAAGGCAGCCAGGCTGCAACTCCCGCCGCCATGGTGACTCCCGCTTTTGGGCTGGTAGCTGCTCAGACACTGTGCACACCAGCTTGGAGTTAGTTCAGTGACCCCTGGGGGACAGGAGAGATCAGAGAAAGGGCTAAGTCTACTTTGATTTTTGTAGGATAGGGACAAGGGGAGGGTCATTGTGTGAAACAGCAAGTCTCCAAGGCAAGTTAAAACTGAAAGACCCAAAGAGGCAACTCTAACAGTGACACAAGGACAGTACCTCACAAGGGGCTGTGCAAAGGACCAGTTCATCAGATGTTGCTGACTGGCTGACAAAGTGTCAAGCTCCAGGGGGGTCCAGAAGTACTTGGGAAGGAAAGTGTCTAACAAGAAGATCTGGGAAGATGGGTAATAATTAGCTCTGAAAGGTTATGGATGTTATTGCGAATTTAAATTGGGAGAGGGTAAATGAGTTCTCATTAAACGAATTTAAAAGTGGGATAAACATGCTAATTTTTATTTCACTCTTCATCCACCAGGGTAATCAGGAATTGGGGTGCCAATGAAGGAGATCAAGTAAACACACCCTTTACATTTCTCCCTGGTGGGAAGGAGACTGGGGCTGGGTTTAGAAAATTTGGTTAAGGTGGGAGACCCCAGCAAGTCCAGAGCCTAGTAAAGTTCCATCCCTAGCTCCCATCGAGAAAGCTTTCTCTGGCAAATTGCAACTTACTCTTGAGAATGCTTGGCCTGGATCCTTGCCCTAGCAACCTACTGTCCAATTGCAGCCTTCAGACGCATGATGAATAGACCAGGGGAAGCTCTGTACAGGGTCTCTCTCCCACCCAGCGAAGGAATTCTTGGGTTCTTGGTCCACCTGACTTCCACATACTGTCCCTCTCCCACCCCGGAGCAAGCTGAGCCACGCTCACTGCCTTCCCTAACTCCTTCGCCTCCTGTCTCCATCTGCCTAGAACCCAGAGTTCCCCATTATATAACAATACACCATCCCATGCCAGGCTCTCTCACCTGTCCTCTCCTGCACCCTCGGAACTTCTTCAGGGCTGGGCACCCTTGTCCCTTCACTCACAGCTTTCTGCACCTCATTTCCCCGTCACCTGCCTGGATGGAGGGAACAATGGCACAGAGAACTATATTTGGCTTTGAGAAGCAGATTTACCTTCCCAGATCTGGCTTTTTAAAGATGATAGTGAAATGACTCTGCAATCCCCAAATGTATACCATCTGTGGGAAGACATGTGGTGACACAGAAACACACGTAACAGTGACGGGAAATTGTTTGGGGTTGGCACGCTCAACTCCACTAATCCTAAACTGATCACACAGTGCAGAGCCAAATCTTAACTCAGTTATTTGGATTCTCTAGAACTCAGTTGGTTTATTTCTGTATTGAAATAAATGAGGCAGAGGTGACTTTGGGAGTTTGTTGTGTTGTTTGTTGGTCTGGTTTTGCTGTTGGATGACTTACTACACAGAGACTTGGGATGAACCTTGGCCTTCATCTCTCCAGGAATGCCCCCTCACCTGCTTCCTGACTCCCAGCTCTTCTGTTTCTTTCCCCCCTGATCTTCGACTGGGCTTTTCTTCCTGGATGCCTCTGAAACAGAAAAACTGACACTATCTCCATCCAGAACGTTGCTCTTCACCTTCTGCCCACAGCATTCCCTTATCCTAGGCCTATACTCTGACCATGTTTTTTTATACACTATTCCAAGGATTGTCAAATAATGAAGCACCATGAAAGACTAACTCCCTTGGTTCCCCCCACTCCCACTGGTATTCTTGTCTCACTCTTCTTCCCCTACTCCTGATCCCTCCCATTACCTCCAAATTCCTTCTACTGAGTAATCTCTTTAAAGCAAGGTTCTGATTGTGCTTTACTCTGTAGCCTATGAAATAAAACCCTAACTCCTTGGCCTGGAATTTCAGCATCTTCATAAATGGACCCATCTTAACATATCAGCTAGGCAATCCACCCTCCTAACCTCCAACAACAAAAGCAGAGGCCAGCTCACAAACAAACCCTGGATGTCAGTCTCTGGAGTATATTCCCTGTCCCTCCTCTTGCCCTGCTTACTAAAAGCCCACCTGTTCTTCTTGGTGGCCCTTCCTCTTCTTCCAAGACTGTCTGCACTCTGCCTTTCTGCTCTAGCAACTGCCATGCTAAACTTGGATTCCAGGTGCTTTTTTTTTTCTTTTTGAGACAGGGTTTCTCTGTGTAGCTTTGGAGCCTGTCCTGGCACTCTCTCTGGAGACCAGGCTGGCCTCGAACTCACAGCGATCCACCTGCCTCTGCCTCCCGAGTGCTGGGATTAAAGGCGTGTGCCACCAATGCCCTGCATGATTCCAGGTGCTTTATATTCCTTCATTGACAGTGATGACATTAACAGTAATGAATGGCCAGATACTCTATGCAAGGTATTGTACTGTCTCCCGTGGCTAGCTCATTTAATCCTCAAAGCAATCCCAGGTAGAAGAGTCTATCATGTCCATCATCTTATGAATAAGAAAATCCAAGGCCTACAGATACCTAGCATTCTGATAACCCTGAAGCACAGATCAGGGATTCAACCTTGAATGGATTACTGAGCACTAACCACACCAGGTTCAGTATCTTATGTATCCATGAACTGTTTCCATCAAGCCACCAAAACAGTCCTTGCTTTTAGAGTAGACACCACTGTAGTCCTCACTTTGTACATAAGCAAAATGAAAGATCAGGAGTGGTCGTGACTTTCTAAATGATTAAATTAGTCAGAACTCATGGGGAGTCACTCTAGACAGCACATTCCCTGGGCTTTCCAAAGATTTTTTAGGGCAAAGGCCATGTAACCTTAGCTTTCCATGTAGCCCAGCAAGTATCAATAGTGCAAGTGGTGCTTGAACAGGTTCTGGCGTCAGGACCACTATTTTACAGGTGCTGCTTGCACTCTGTCAGTTTAACTCTATGCCTTGTAACTGTTCCCTGGGGTTGCCAAGGGTGGCTGTTCTTTCTCTAAACAGTAAACTCTGAAGACAGAGTTGAATCAAAATCCTGAGGATTGAGTGTCTGTCAAGTAACTGTAAATACAGTTAAGTGTCCTTGAGGAGTTGATCTCTGCCTCAGTTTCCCCACCTACATGCTAAAGGGGGATTTTCATAAGTCCCTCTTTTCCTTAAAGGTTGTTTAGATGTTACAGAAGACAATGAGAATGACCATAACGTTTCCTAAAGGTGTCACTGCTTAAAGCATAGAGAAACAGCATAGGCCTGATGACCTCTTGATTATAGGAACTGAGAGAAGAGAGGAGAGTGGAGGTCATTCATCCATGAAGGTGGGTAATCAACACATCACCGAGAGAAGACTCAGAAACACATTTGGCATTGTGTAGTTGTCTTCAAGGCATTCACCCTCACAATGAACTATGTTTTCTTTGGGCCAAGAGATGTCCCTTTCCTCAGCATATACTTAGCTAGGTTTTCAAGGGGCGAGGGCCTGAGAAAAGAACATGAGCTGAACACTGGTTATAGATAACTCCAATTCTGACTTAGGCCATGTTTCCTGAGCACTGACAAAGTCCTGGGCACTGTCCAAGGCACTTTTGCATATCATATAACATTTAATCTATTCCCACAAAAATGCTATGATGTTTTTGCCTATTGGTGACAGGAAAAAATGCCTAAGCCTCCGAAGTTTCCTTCCAAGTGGTTAAGTTAATGTATATAGGGGTGGACAGTTTCCAGACCAGACCATTGTCTGGCTCACTGTCAAATGGTTTCCCTGAACGGGATGTAGCCCAATCCTGGTGCTCCTTTAGAGGAAGCAGGCAGTAGAGAGAGCAGGCTCTGGCAACCTTTCAGTCTGTTTTAGTACTACCCTAACTTTTGAAAGCAAGCCACGGTTAACTTTCTGGATTGCAGAATCCTCATCTGTAAAATGAAAGCTGAAAAAGAAAGGGACGGAGGACCTTTTGATTCAAATGATTCTCCTGGATCCAGGACACAGACGCTACATCTCCTGTCTCTCTGAGACTGCCTTATGATGGCTGCCCATGCAGAGCGGGAAGTAGAGCATCTGGGTTGGTTGCTGTGGGGATGCAATTAGCCTGAGCCTCATCTCAGCAGAGAGAGAGAGTTCTGGGAATTCCTGATGAGGCTGGTGCCCAGAACAGGACACACAACCTGCATCACTTGGAACCCAAGGCAATCCAAGGCCCAGTCTACTCACAGAAACACCTCTCATACCCTCCTAGGAGGGAAAGAGGGCTAAGGCCTCAGGCCCTTGCTGGCCCCTTGATTCATGACCCCTAATATTCCTGCTTTATCAAAGAGATGGGCAGGGGCAGGGGGTCAAATGGCAAAGATTAAGAGATTACTGAATCAGGAAGTACCTTTGAGAACCTTATTAGCCAGACACATGGCTCTGAAAGGACAAGCCTCTTTCTAGTATCCCAATACAGCCCAGGGATTCTGGAGCCTCAATACCAGCTGCATGCCTCTGCAAGCTGAATTCCATCCCCTCATCCTCTTTACTGAATCAACTCTTCTTTTCCAAGGCCATGAGTAATGCACAAACTGCTTTCTGATGGATAATTGAAAGCTCAGAGAAAGGCAACACTAATCCCCTCCCTATTTATCCTAAAGTCTCTGGTCCCAAGGGGGAACTTTTACCCTGTACAATAATCCAGAACAATCTTTCTCAAGAAGGTCATGCAAGTACCAGATTGTCTCCAGAGACTCAGAACCCATCCTTGCAGAGAAGAGTGCCAAGAAAATAGCAATTACCCTGTTGCCACTTTCTGCGTGCATACCTATGTGCATGCCTGAGTTTGGAAGAGGACAATCACCCTACCAGAAACCATGCCCAAGTCCCTACGAGCCACACCCATAGTACAACCCCTCAGGGATGACCTGGCTCAAACAGGACTTCTGCAGGTTGTCAATGCAACACTCACCCCCAACAGTGCCAGTGCCTTTTGGAGCTGGCCTGGGTATGAACCCTGCAACAGGCACTACAGTGCGGCCCCATTTCCAGCCAATGGCACTGCAC